GGATAATCGAAAAGTCACCTTACTCAAAATAGGAAATATCCTCATGATCGGTCAAACAAGACCCCATACTTGTGAGACTGAACGAATTCCTTCACTACACCATTAGCTCTAGAGGACCTCAAAGATGATCCTGAAGGTCACCAAAACCTGAGTCTGCTATGAACCAGCTCCCACTCTACCATTGAGGGTAAGCACACCTAAAGACCGAAGGAACATATAATATAGTGAACAAGAGGGTAGCTGACACATTCCTTGACCTTTAACTGTCACCACTTAAATCCTTCGGAGAATTCCCGATGAATAACGAACTCAACGACCAATGGTCTAGAACACCTTGACCCTAAACTAGAGAAACCACAACCCACCTGGAGTCGAACATACCCTATTTGGAAAGGGTTCACCGGTCAATATATGCCCAACAAATCTGAAAGCAGCAACCAGACAACGAACTGACAGAACCCTCAACGAGTGACACTCAACCTGAGAATCCCAATTCTCCCCCGCTTAGAACTCGAACCACCGCCCACTGGTGGTGAAACCAGACATAACCCATGCAGCCCGTCCAGGTACAAACATACGTGACCATGGATTGAATAACATACGCAAAATAGACCTCAAAAGAATAGATCCAACGAACCCTAAGGGAACCTGAATTCCAGCAGGAAGCCTCTAAATTTCCAATCATAACCACTTACAAAGCATAGGCAAATACCGACTTACGATCCCAACATACAACCCTGTATGCAACCCACACGACAATCTGACACCTGGCTTTCCCATCTCCCAAGAATACGTACTTACTCGCATCGCTAAGGTACTCGTGCCATATCAAACCACTTGCACACACCATCGCTGACATACTGTCACCAACCACCGTGACCAACAGACCTCAAGATGAGAATCCAACCCAACTTGGGAGGTCACAAGCCTGCCCACTTCTTCGAACTCAAAAATCTGAAAGGAAAGATCCTTGCACAAATAACGACAATCTAATCTGACAATCTGCAACTTAAATCCCATATGCAGTATCCAAGCCGGTCATATCAATCACTTCCTCCCCGAGTCTCGAGGCCCAAGGCACGACTCCTAGCCAAACCTCCGAGACCTCCAACCAACATACTCATCCGGGTCTGAACCACTCAACCCACATCAATATCGCGACAGGGGCCCGAACAAACACAAAACCCATCCTCACCTGAACAACCCAAGCCAAAAGATCGACATATACAGAACCACTGCCTCGAACCATGGTATCCAACCATGATATCTTCCCTGGCTAGCCCTTAGATTCCCCGAAATCTTCCTTGAATCAAGTATGGATCCTATGCTTTCAGTAGTACGAGCCTAATACTACCTTCCACACTTATCCATACTTTCCTCAAGAATTATCTCGGTTCCTCTACGACCTAGTCACAACATACTCTGAAACCTTCTCAACAGCGAAACAATCGCACTAAAGGACTCCCTAGGCTATCCTAGGGTTCCACACTTCTCTGCCACCAGCTTCTAAAGAACTCCTTACAATGCCAATTAGCCATTCCATGAATATAATCACATGCAACAAAGCTCAGATAATCCTTCGAGTAACAGACTCATCCCTACAACAGTTTGACTCAGACAAGAGCTGCGCAGCAGGGTCAAATTCCTCGCTCTGAGATTATCTAACCTTTTATTCACATGTGACTTGACATATTCACTTAATGACTAACTCACATCACTCATGAGTTCCATAAAGCACAAAGCAAGCAACATTCGTGCAGAGGAGCCGACTGACACTAAAATGCAATAAGGTTTGACAGATCCTCCTATGAAATACTCGATCTCAGACTCCCAGCATCTCGTGCGCATCTTCGCCCTACCCTTAATTTCTCAAGAGTGACTAGTCCTTCCTTATACCAACCCGCTAAACACTGCACCTACTCAAGAAACTTCCACCATCCCTGCATCACTCGTGTATGCTAGCCATACATAACACTGGATCCTATAGACAGTCAAATACATGATCCTTCCCTAAGCTCTTCATCAAACAAAAACAGGGAATAAGGCCAAACCAAACATTCTCAGGCATAGAATCTTAGTTATGTACAACTATGATGCATACACTAAGAAACTACAGTAATGATGTCAATTTCATATAAAGAAGAATCCTAGGCTATCAAGCATCATATAATCATGCAATTCCTGAAGATCCCTAACCTATCACTAGCATGTTGTTCTAACATATCACAATATTAAATAACAATATGGTATTTTGGGGTCTACTTACTGGCTCCGGCTGATCATACACATCGCATCCTCCTTAAGTATTTTGAAAACCATTTGAAAATCATTTTGAAAATCTTTTTCCTTAGTTTGAGAGTGGATTCACACGAGTGTTCCTCCAATTCACTCAAACCAAGGCTCTGATACCAACTTGTAACATCCAAAAAGTTTCATAAAATTTAAACTTTTCAAAACAACCCTTTTTCTATAGAAGTGTTTACAAAAACCGTTGTTCCCAAAACATTACTTAAAAATCAGAATCTCTTTCAACATAGTTTTCAAAACATTTACATTATCAAAGTTTCTCAGAAATCATAAGTCAAAAACGTGAGGATGTGTACGGTCACGCCTTCACCTTGCCATGATCCACTGAAGTACCTGAAACCATAAACCAAAACTTTAAGCACGAAGCTTAGTGAGTTCCCACAAAGTACTAACACCCAACCAGATAACATATATAAATAACAACATACATACAAGGCCTTCAGCATGAATGGAACGCCCTACCGGCCTACAGTCCATTTGGTACGCCCACAAAGCCTTCAGTCTGACTGGAACGCCCCACCGGTCTGCAGTCTATCTGGTATGCTCACAGAACCTTCAGCATGACTGGTACGCCTCACCGGGCCTTCAGCCTATCTGGAACATTCTTCGGGCCTTCATACTGACTGGTACACCTCACAGGCCTTCAGTCTATCTGGGATGCCCTGGATCTGTTGGCCTTCAGCACAAAGGAGGTCCGCCTCAACCCAACCACACATAACCATGTCGACATATACATAACAACTAAGCGTACATATTACATATCGATATAAATATTACCGGGTGTGTTGACTGGCAGCACAAAGCAATACAGTCTCAACCCAACCACACTACATCAACACATGCTACTGGAAAACATATATCCAGAACAGATAACAGGCAGATCAAACAGATCACTTAGCATAACATCATCCTTTCTACCCGGATACCGATCTAACAAATCATAACAACATAGCAACATCCTATCTACCAAGATACCGATCTAACAAATCATAATAATACAATAGCATGCATAACAGGATATTAATCCAATGGGTCGACATGGGTGCCTTCGACCCGTAAGTACAATGAGGAAAACTCACCTCGAATGCAGAAGCTCCCCGAAAGATATCCCTAGCCGCTGCCTGTCGGCTTCTTGAGCTATCAATACCACAACACCTCCAATTAGCAATTGGGTTCCATGCTATAATCCATAATCCTTACTTGGGGTAAAACGACAATTTTACCCCTGACCCAATCATGAACCCAAAAACCAAAAGATCCACAAAGGCCCACAAATGGCCCAATTTTCCAAATTGGGCCCAACCCCATATGGGTCTTATCCTAAGCCCATAATTTCCTTATTACAATTCAGATTACTTCAAGCACCCCTTAGGATCGACTTAGTCAAAGACATAAATTGAAAGTCAAAGTCAACGACCCAAGTTGACCCAACTCACCGAGTTGTCCTTCACCTCGTCGAGTTTCTCCAACAATCTGCACAGATCGGGAGAAACCAACTCAACTCGCCGAGTTGAACCACCAACTCGCCGAGTTCCTCTATCAATTTGAAGATGTCGGGGAAAACCAAGCCAACTCGCCGAGTTTATCCAACAAACTCGTCGAGTTCACCAGAACCCACCCCTTAACACATTAAGCACTTAATCCATAGGGACATGACTCCAAACATAGATCTGACTTCCTTGAGCTGGAAAACCACATAAAGTTGCCAACTTTACGTTCATGCATGTCTAAACAAAGCTCTTAAGCTTAGAATGGACTTGATAAATGACTTAATGCATGCATGACACCAAAATCCTCATAAAGTTTGCACCTTTAAGCTCAAGGGTACCAAAACCAACTCAGATATGAAAGAACAACCCCTTAAATGACTTCACTCCATCATCATCCCTAAAAAGGAGGCCAAAACACAACAAAACCCAAAATAAGGAGATCTAATCATCTACAAGTCAAGGTATGAACTTGATACCTTGGAATGACTGCAAGAAATTGAGTGATTCTGGATCCAAGACTTCCTTCTCCAAGCTATAAATTTCAAGATCTTCTAATTCCTTCACAATGCACAAAAAGAACACCAAACTTCCTTCCAAGGCTCCAAAATCTTGACAATTGAGGCTACAACTCGTTTTAGGATTTTGATAACAATGAAGGCTGATAAGGAGGCCATCAAAAGGACTTAAGGATCTTAAATAGGGTGCAAGACCCTAAAAATTAGGGTTTCCTTCCCACCTGCCAACTCGTCGAGTTGAGGCTCCCCAACTCGTCGACTTGGTTCATTAAACCTTCGCGATCCGTCCATCTTCAACTCGTCGAGTTGACTTAGAATTAAGGTTATTCTCAGCAATTTCTCTTCAAGATTTCGGATGTTACACCAAAATTTTATTATTGCTCAATAGGAATTAAAAAACACGTAGAACAAGAAGATATAAATACTACAAAACAGCTAGGGCCGATTAACAAAAAATAATCCTAACTAGACTAATTTCTAATAGATAATGACATTTAAAATACAACCCGATAAGAACAAATTCAAATAATCTGGAATCTGCCAGAGTTCTTTAGAATATTGACAATGTTACTTTACTAAGTGGAGGGGAGTTTACGAGGTGGAGCAAAGCTCTTTCGAGAAGAGTTATTGTCTTTGGCGTCTCTTATTAGATAGATTACCCACATGTTTTAATCTCTCTAAAAGAGGGATGGATTTGTCGTCTATAATGTATCCTGTTTGTGATAATGGAGGAAAGACCATTGCTCATTCTATGTTCGGTTGTCAGGTGGCGAAGGATGTCTGGGGTCTTGTTGCCAGATGGTGTGATGTTCCTCTTTCTATCTCGATGTCTCTTGAAGAGTGGCTCACGTGGGTAAATGACATGAAGGGATCTGTTTTGAGGCGTAAAAGGATGGAAGTGATTATTTTAGCAACTACTTGGATACTTTGGAGATTCAGAAACTCCACAGTCTTTGTAGGGGAAAATATAAAAAAGAGTTCATTGTTTGATTCCATTGTTTTGTATTCTTTTAATTGGCTGAAAAACTGAAATTCCAACTCTGAAGTAGTTTGGAATTCTTGGATTCTTTTCCCCCTGTAATGTTCTCTTTTTTCTTGTTTGCTTTTTGTAAAAACTCTTTTGTTTTTCTAGCAGTTCGCTACAAAATCTTCATATATATATATATATATATATATATATATATATATATATATATATATATATATATATATATATATATTGAAGTTGTTAAAAAATGTGAAGTAATTACTTGTTGAATCCAAACAATAAAATACATACGTCAAAGTAGTTCATTATAGTATTTCAAGTTGATTTTGCATTGACCATTGATGTTTGATTTTATTTGTCTTATTTAGTTTTTGAACATGTTATTTATCTATTACTTGTAGACTTTCTAAGTATGTAGTTTTTTATAACAATATATGGTTCGTTTACTTATGCTACTACGTAGAAAGTGACAATGAGCAAGCAAGAACCCATTGGAAATGTCGGTAAGAAAATATCGTGAAGTGGATAGATAGGATGTATTTTGTTTTTATTCAAGCAATAGTAACACAACAAGAAAATGACAATAAGGCTAATGGGACATTTACTACACAAGCATACCGAATATCGTGGAGGAGTTGAATGCAAAACTTCAAATGAATATAACTAAAAATAATCTAAAGAATCGTTTGAATGTTTCTTTTTTCGCAATGTTATGATATGTTTATTGAACTTCATTGAGTGTGTTCGCTTGGAATTCTGATACCCAACTAATTGAAGTTGATGATGAAGTATGGGAAAACTTAATTAACATAAGTGTTCGTCTTACCTTTAACTTAGTTCATTATATATTTATGTTATTATTTTTAATATTAATTAAATTTGGGTTTGTTAAACAGTCAAAGCCTGATGCAGTTTCTTTGAAGAAAAAAAAGTGGCAAAATACAATGAAATGTTGGTGTTGTTTGCGAGAAATAGATATTTAGGAGCACATGTTGACATATAAAAAGAAACTATTGTAGAAGTTGATGACTTATTGATAAGTAATGATGTAATTTTGGAGAACCAACAAAAAATGACGACGATGATATTCAAGTGCTATCTCCTACATGTTTTTTACCGGAGCAAAATTATAGTGCGAAGAAGCGCAAAAGTTGAAAAAATGAAATTTTGAAAATGAGGATGAAGATTAACCAATTAAAATGAAGATTATGAATTTTGTTGCAAACGGGGCTAATGCTATTATAGAAGGTAACATGATTTTTGAATTCAAAAGATTATCATGTTTAATACAGATAGTTTTTTTTCCTTTATTTTCCTTTCAACTTAGAAACATAATTTTTTTTCTTTCATTTCCTTTGAGCTTGGAAATGCGAAAATAGTTATTCATTTCCACCCCCTTCTCTTTCTTTTCTCTCCATATGTTCCTTCTCCTTTCTTTTCTTTACTAAAACTAAAAAACAATGTATAAGAACAATATTGAATGGGTTAAGAGATAAATTGAGATGATTATTTTTCCCCACACCAGACTTCTCATGGACCTAAGAAGTGGATTTGCTTAATGGTTTGTTTGTCAACTTTAGTTTTGTTCCACTCACTTCCACTTTATTATTATGGAACTAAGAATTATAAATTTAGATGGACTTGGTCTTTGTTCTACTCATATTTTTTCATCCATGCCATACTTACATTAAAATTGTTTTGTTCTATTCGGTCATTTTTGTTACGCGTACCAAACCATAGCAAAGATAAAATAGACACTGAGATAAAACTAGTTGGTTTTAGCATTTTCGAGTTGTACATAGAGTTTGACATGGGGCGTGTTCGACACAGTGTGTTTGAGAGCTTTTAGCTTCAAGCGTTTGACAAAACGTTCCGTTTTGAACAGAAAACCTCGTTTGACACTTCAAGCTTCTAGCGTTTAGTTTAAACAAAACGCTCCAAATCCAAATGCTACTTCATGTAGCGTTTAACAAAACGCTACATGCTAGTTTTGCTTAACACGCCTACGGTGTAGGTAGCTTTTGAGCATGTTCGGCACGGAGTGTTTGAAAGCTTCTAGCTTCTAGCGTTTGACAAAACGCTTCGTTTTGAACAGAAAGCCTCGATTGACACTTCAAGCTTCTAGCGTTTAGTTTAAACAAAACGCTCCAAATCCAAATGCTACTTCATGTAGCGTTTAACAAAACGCTACAAGCTACAAGCTAACCGCTATCCGCTACAAGCTACCCGCTACTAGCTAGTTTTGCCGAACACGCCTTTTAAGCACAATATAGTAAATATTTATAAAATATTAATTTCCTTAAAAATAGATAAGTTTGTTAGATTGACCAATGTTATTATCTAATATAAGTCATATTGAAAAGTGAAAGCACACAGTTACTATATTTTGAATTTTGACTGTAATGGACGGCAGTGGAAACAACACACCGGTGATCGGCATCGACCTCGAAACAACTCACTCATGTGTCACTGTTTGGAAGCATGATCACATCCAAATCATTCCCAACGATCAAGGCAACAGAACCACACCTTCTTGTGTTGCTTTCGTTGATGCTGAATGCCTCATCGAGGATGGCGCCATGAACAAAGCCGCCATGAACCCTGCTAACACTATATTTGGTAAACTTTTTTTTCTAGCTTTTATTGAATAATATTATTCTTATTAAGGAATAGTTTGACATGGTTTAGGTAGTTTTTTTTCTAGTTTTTTATGTAAATCAATGAACTTCCATAGACGAGTAAACCACATGACGTTTCAATACAATATTATATATTTAACTTTACATAAAATAATTTGTGCCAACACCAATACCTTAGACTAACTTTCAAATTTACTAAAAGGTCAAATGTACCACTTGGATTTCATGCATATATCAATTATCATAGATTAATAAATATCATGATCCTATAACACTTTACTTTGTTTGAGTACACATTGTATTGAGTTTGTCTTTTTTTTTAGTTATTACTCCTATAATTTAATAATTAAAAAGTTCACAAAGTTGTTAGTAAAAATCTTAATACATTTTCGACAAAATTACATAAATTTGCTCCATATGATTTCCTAGATTTTTGGTTTTCATACCATACATGGTCCATATGGTTTTTGTCTCTAAAATAAAAACAAAGTATTCACTACAGGTCACATTACGCAGGTAGACGGCTAGTAGAATACACATAAAAGTAATATGTATTGATAATTTATTTGATTTTATGCAAATCAAAATTAGTATTTGAAATTTCCGATTTATAGTGGAATCTATTTTTATAGGGCTTTTATATCCAGAAGTTAGATTGAATATTTAATAATTCAGATTTATAATGGAAAATTAAATTTGGCAAACACATCCGGAATTTTCAAATTAATAAGATGGTTAAACGGAAAAGATTTCCTACCAAATTTTAGGAGAAAAATATGGAAAATGTCTTTATTCAAATTGCTGCCGATAATTCAAATCTATATAAGTTACGGTGAAAAGTGAAATCACACAATCAATTTATTTTGAGTTTTGACTGTAATGGACGGCAGAGGAAACAGCACACCGGCTATCGGCATCGACCTCGGAACAACCTACTCATGTGTCGCTGTTTGGAAGCATGATCGCATCCAAATCATCCCGAATGATCAAGGCAACAGAACAACACCCTCTTGTATTTCTTTCGTTGATGGAGAACGTCTCATTGGCGATGGCGCCCTGAACAAAGCCGCCATGAACCCTGCTAACACTATATTTGGTAAACTTTTTTCTAGTTTTTATTGAATGCTGTTATTCTTATTACGATTAAGCATATATCCAGCAGAAGGAATAGTAAGAAACCGGCCAGTATTCCATGAACAAGGTTTAGCTTTCATTCCGATCGGAACTGGGATATCTACTTAATTAATGTTTGTTTGCGTATTCTGCTGCATATTACTTTGTCTTTTTAATATCAACCAAGAAATATAGCTTAGCCAGGGAATCAAAATCTCTACGGGTATATCTTATAGTTGGTTTTCACAATTTCACTTCGCTATTGACATAATTAACTGTGGATGTACAGATGCTAAGAGGCTGATTGGAAGGAGATTCAGTGATTCCAAAGTGCAGGATGACATTAAATTGTGGCCTTTTAGGGTCATACAAGGGCCTGCCGACACACCAAAGATTGTTGTCTCCTACAAAGGTCAAGAGAAGGAATTTTTGGCTGAACAAATTTCATCGATGATTCTTGGGAAGATGAAAGAAACTGCTGAGTCATACCTTGGAAAAGTTGTAAAAGATGCTGTGATAACAGTTCCGGCTTACTTTAACGATTCACAACGTCAAGCAACAAAGGATGCTGGAGCTATTGCTGGACTTAATGTCATTCGCATGATCAACGAGCCTACAGCAGCAGCAATTGCTTATGGTCTTGACAATAAGTCTGATATCACTCGCAAGATCAATGTACTTGTCTTTGATCTGGGTGGTGGCACATTTGATGTCTCTCTCTTGACCATTGCAAAAGGGGGTACGATTGAGGTGAAAGCTGTTGCTGGTGACACTCATTTGGGAGGTGAGGATTTTGATAACCGCATGGTGGATCATTGTGTTAGGGAATTCAAGAGGAGATGGAATAAGAACTTAACAGGGAACAAAAGAGCATTAGGGAGGTTGAGATTTGCGTGTGAGAAAGCAAAAAGAATTCTCTCATGCAGTACTCAGACTTCAATCGACCTGGATTGCTTGCATGAGGGGATCGATTTCTCTATGAAATTCAGCCGAGCAAAATTCGAAGAGCTCAACATGTGTTTCTTCAGTAAATGCATTGAGATTGTGGAGACTTGTTGAAGTGATGCAAAGATGAAGAAATCGTGTGTAAACAAGGTGATTCTTTCTGGTGGTTCAACTAGAATACCAAAGGTCCAATGTATGTTGCAAGAACTTATCGGCAGGAAGGAGCTATGCAAGAGCTTGAACCCTGATGAGGCTGTTGCATATGGTGCAGCTGTCATGGCTGCAAAGTTAAGTGGTAATGGTGATAAAAGCTGTCAGGATTTGATGTTATTGGATGTCACTCCTTTGTCCCTTGGTGTACAAGTAATAGGAAAAGTATTTGATGTTGTGATCCCTCGTAACACTCCAATACCTACCAAGAAATCTAAAATATATAATACAACTCGGGACAACCAAACTTGTGTAGATGTTAAGGTGTATCAAGGTGAACGAACCAGATCTACAGATAACCATTTGTTGGGGAAGTTCAGAATTTCTGAAATACCACGGGCTCCAAAAGGAGTTGCAGAACTCAAGCGCTACTTTGAGATAGATACCAATGGAATTCTGACAGTGACATCGGAGATATTATCAACTGGTAAGACAGAGAAACTACTGATTACCAACGAAAATGGAAGACTCTCAAAGGAACAGATCCAAAAGATGGTAAAAGATGCTGAGAAGTACAAACAAGAGGACCAAGAATACAAGAAGAAAGCCGATGCATTGAATGCATTAGAGGATTGCGTATACAACATGAAGAAGAAGATAAAAAATATGGCGCATGGTAAGAGCTTGAGGAAAATGGAGAAAGCCATTACTGACATAACCAAGTGGCTGGAGCATAAACAAACTGCATCTATTGTTGAGATTCAGCGCATGCAGAAACATCTGGAGTCAGTAGCGGACTCTAAACAAAATGTGAGGGATGACACACATGATTTTAAGAGTAGTACATCTAAAAAATTACACAATGCCGGGAAATTCTTCAAAAAATTTGTACTACGCCAAAAAGTTTGAAACCGTGTAGGTCAGCCCCAGGTCTATATGCATGGAAGAGTTTTAAGTACGAAATAATGGTAGTGGCGGTAGTGAAACTGAGGTATCTTAGTTTTTATATATTTTCATTAGATGATGTTTAACAGTAAGGTGCAACTTCTTATAAACCAATAAAAAATGCTAAACCAAGAACCATTTCGTATTTGTCTCGTCGTTGTGAAAAACAAATTAAACATAAATTTTTGAATGCTATTTCAGTTGCTCACGCAATGTACTTTGATTTTGTGAAATTTTGTTTTTTGACAATTTTGACTACCATCTACATAAGTTGATTGTTTAATTGATGATATTTTTACACAACACATTTGATTCTAGACTTTGAAGGTTTATGTTTCCAATCGGAGTGCTTAAATGTTCCAACTAAGCTCATGACCAAACAAGTCGCCATGATAACTTTTAAGCAGTTCTAGGAATTGAATAGATTGGGGGCACAAAAAATTTCTAATATTTTTTTCCTAATCGGGTCAAAACTCATTTAAATACGAGTAACAAGTTACATTACAAAAGTTCAAATACATATTATAAGATTATAATTGTCCTATATGAGTTGCCATTTTTTGGATTGCACAAATCAAAGAAGCATTCAAAAAATCATCACCGATCCGGTTTCTCAAATCCGACATCGCAAGCTTTATAGCCGGAAAACATCTCTCCACTGTTGCGGTTGCAATGGGGAAAACTAATGCTAACTTTACTAGCCGATTCACCAAGTAATATGAAATGTGTTTTCTTGTTTCCACCATGACTCTAGAAAGATCGACGATTTCATTCAAGTTAGAAAAACGAACATCTTCTTTCATAACAATATAATACAAATCAAGTTGTTGTGCAAGATCCCCCCTTTCCACCTCCGTAAAATCCTTTTGATATAAACATATTCAATTTCATTAATTTTGATGTGTCAAATTGCGAAAATGAGCTAACAATTACCCAAAGCCGCCATATTTGTATGCAATTCAGTGCTTATCTCTTAAACAATCATGGAACTCTTGAAGTTGTGTATCAAGAACCATGATAAAAATATCAACTTTATAATGATGTTGATCGTTGATGTAAATTATTTTTTTGTCTTGGATTCCTTGCATAACTTTCCAACATGTCCACTTTTTCAATTTCATACTTTTCACAAAAAGCATATACTTCCTCAAGTAGATTTTTAAAACCCTTATCTCTAAACTTTTGTAATTTTTTCTTTGTCATCTATGCTAATGAAAGGCTTCAACTATGTCTTGATCTTTTTTTTAAGCTTGAGACAACAAATTTGTAAGGTCTAAAAATACACAACATCAAGTGCAAATAAAACACAAAATTAAATGTTTCGAAATACAAAGTAACATCATGTGATTAGCTCTGACTAAATCCATTTTTACCTTTCTTTTCAACATATTCAAGGACTTTCGGAACCTCCAAGAATAAAGAAACCAAACTTGACATTGTTTTATAATGAGAACCCGAATGTGTATCTCCGACTCGTATTAGTGAAAGCTCTTGGTTTCACCTTATCCCGGTTTCAGTTTCACCGACACCAATTGCTTATTGCACTCTCTTTTTATAACCTTTGCGAATCATATCTTTTCGTTGGCAAGAGGCACAAACCACATTCACAACAAGGGAAAGCATGTCAAATAAGTTTCCAACACCAATGTGATTTCTTGCAACTGCCACAACCACCCATTGAAGTTGGTGAGCAAAACAATGCACATAAAAACCCGAAACATTATCTTTTAAAATTAGAGCTTTCAAAAAATTAAATTCACCTTGCATACTGTTTTGCACATCATAACCTTGTCCTCTTATTTTTTTTATACTTATGATGGGTTTGGAGCATTCTAACACTCCTATGGTGTACATGCAACCCTAAATACATTGGATCTATGTTTTCTCTATTATACATGTAAACTTGAACTTTCCAAGGTATTACCCTAACTAGCATACAATCTTTGATACTTGGGTAATATAAACAAGTTAGAAGACATACCTTTTTATGTAGCTTGATTCCATGGAGCTTAAGAGCCTAGTGCCTCAAGTGTGACACCTCAAATGGTTCACACAACATCACCAACAACTTGGAATAACTTGAGAGAAAAGGTTCCTATGCTCAAATAGGCTAGCCCTCATGTGTACACACACTAGTGCCAATTTCTTGAGTCATGGTGTCCTTATATATTGTGGCTATTAGGGTTACACCATGTAACTCATGTCTTTCCATATTCTTCATGCTCCATGGGTTAAAACCTCCATGGAGTATCCATGGGTTACTCCATGGGTTTAGCCCAACATGAAGAACTATGGATCATAACCCCACATATATAAGAATGAATGATTTACACAATCAATCCCCATATATTTAATTAGTCTCCGTTTGATCACAAAATTAATTTCAAATTAATTCTTGATCAATACTAATTAAATAATATGATTTCATATTAATATATTAGAACTTATAATATATTAACAAATCATAAATATCATTTTCTCACAAAAGTCTATCCAAATTGTTCCGATGCCATGCAACCCAAATAGACCATGCCAAATCGGGTCAAGTACATACCAATTATAGTTATGGACTTAGACACTAATCCAACAGTCTCCCACTTAGATAAGTCTAAAACTATTATTGCGTATGACTTGAAAACCCGACTAGCAATCGTAGCTCTTAAAAGCTGTTGTCGAACTCTGAACAAATCAATGACGCGTCCATTAGATAAGGGATCATATATTCCTCCATTCTAGATATCATATGGATTGAGACATGGATTATAATCATTCTCTCTGTCCATTTTTTGTTTCCCGATTTTCGATTTATGACGACCGACTAATTGAACAAATCAAATCAGTCCAGGCTTAGCCAAGCAATTCAGAGTGTCATCACTAAATCATCGAGGGGCCCACAGATATCGCTTTTATCCCTTTAAGGGTAAAAGGAATGGATAAACTTCGACTCATATGCTTGTTCTACTACTTGTTTAATCATACACAAAGGCACGTTTTATAACATCGAGTTACCAATGCGTTTTCGTACAATCAACGTATAACCAACTCATAGGCAACAACTCATATCTCTAGGTTTGAAGAATATAAGATATTATCCTCTCATGATCACTCGTGATAAAATCCATGAAGTGAGTCAAATGAGCGTGGGTTTAATCCAATACTCAGAACTTATGAGCACTCATGAATGTTGCAGCAACTCTTGCTATGTCCACTACCTTGGACATCTACAAACCAGCTTCATGACAGTCTTGATTCATATCTACTTCCAACATATAACCGACTGTGGATGGTTTGAATAACTTAGTCATTCGGGAAGAACGACCTAGTTATTTTGGAAGTCAAAACATGCAAAGTGAAACACAAGAATAATCGAATCCAATATGGTCTCAGAACTTATGAATATAAATAGAACACCTTTTATTCATCACCATATTGATTACACATTATTCATTGCATACTGTTTCAAATTATCAACTTTATACTTGAATTAAAACAATAGTTGTCCCATGCTCCAAGCATGTACACTATGTTTTCTAAACATTAGTCATGCCATACACCAAGTATGCACACTATGTTTTTCCAAACATTAGTTATGCCATACACCAAGTATGCACACTAAGTTTGTCTATGATCTTTACTTTGTGGAATAGATCGATTAAACATAATTCCAATGATTCTCATTTCACATCCCAAATCCTTACCGCAAATGCAAGAATTCCAAATTCCTGCCATTTACCGAAATCTGTTAGATTCTAAACTTATATGTATTGATCCTCTTGTAATGATTATGCACAAAGTCACAAAGACTTGTCAACAGACATTACAGAGTATTCAAATGGAGATCATTCCATGGAAACGAAGTCTCAAATTCAAAGTACATTGCTTTGAACATCCTTCTTGCATTAAGTTTCCTAATCTTACACAGATTTAATGAATAACTTCCACCTATGGGAATATTTCCATATTCCCATTTTGACTATCACCTCTGAACAAGAGTTGCCTCTTTTCAGAATATGTCAATATGGTCCTTTCCAAAAATTTACACCATACTTCCAACTGTCCCTGAGCAACCAATATTTGGTAAACCTTAGATCGTTCTCGACAATTGCTTAATCAAATTAGTCATATCCAGTTCTAGTACTTTTTCCCTCTTAATGCTCTAGGCATTTGGAAAAATTTAGAACAGATGAATATTATAGCACATGCAATCCTATATCCGAAGCATATGAGACACGATTCATGATGTCTCACATAAAGACATGATACTAGACCAGTCTTTTGCTATAATATTTCTAGTTCTATTTGCCAAGTTCTCATAATTCAGATTATGAAAAGGGATGCCGTAATCATAATCAAATTTTAGAACACAAATAATGTTCCCATATATAGAATTTCCTTATGTTGAACCATTCCAACATAACATTCATATATATACTTGACTAAATTTGATTAAAATCTCACGATCTAAGCTTTTAGATTTGAAATGAAGTATAATTTCCTCTCCTTTAATTATAGCAAAACAACTTTTCCCAATTAAAACTTTTGTTTTTTTCTATAATTAACATTGCTAACTTGCAACACTTATCATAATTATCATGCTCCCACTTACATGATGATTATTAGCATAACCTTATGCTCCCACTAGCTTTGACATGTACTCAAAATCAGCTGGACTTCTAGAAATCAATACTTTATTGACTTTCTTACCAAAGTTCAGATTTCCGATACGAGATGCTTTGATAAAACTTTATCAAAATCATACACCTTTCCTTAGATAGCTCATATGTGTGTCTAAACATTTTTAGAACTATGAAAAGGGATGTCGTAATCATAGTCTCAATTGTTTAGACCTTTGCCATTTCTCACAAGTCCATGTTAGTGTGCCGGTTAACCACACACGCTCCACTAACGACTTTGAGAATGCAAATATCACAATTACTCTCTACTTAAAATCTACTTAGTGAAAGCGTTTCCTCACCATCATTTTCATGAGTCGGAGAGAAACCTTATGACACTTAGATTTTATGGTGTATGTGTTCCTATCCATGTGAATTTGTCATAACCACAAGGGGAGGTTAGTGACAAATCCAAACTCATATGGACCGAACTTGTGCAACCTTAACTTCTTGCCACCTGGCAGCACAAGGGCCTGCCATTGCTTCCAAGTAGTTTTCCCAACACTGAGAACTTATACAACTCAGATATATAGTCAACTTTAACTGGAAT